ATTCTGTCGGATGTGTGATTTTAAAATATTGAGTTGTGGTTTTGAAGATGACGGCGTCTCATTTACCGTATACAAGAAACGGTCTCAAGTTCTTTACGAAGAAAGGAGGATTAACTTCTCCTGAAGTGGAGAAGATATGCGATTTAGCCGCTCGAAAATACGCAAATAGGCAAACTAAAGTCTCTACATTGATTAAAACTCAACCCAAGCAAGTCGATTTCATGAGCGCTTATTCTAAGCACCTTCGAGAAATCATTAAAGAGAGAATCAATCACCCTGAACACTACGACACTCCTCTCAAAGGATTCCAGGCAAGAGTCTAGCTTTATAATCTCTCTCTATCGTTTGATTGTTTTTGTACAAATTATGATGTTTTCTTGTTGGTATATGTTAGATAGTAGTGAATGCGGGTAATGGGTCAGGGGGATTCTTTACGTGGGACGTTCTAGACAAGTTAGGAGCCGATACATTCGGTTCTCTGTATCTTAACCCAGACGGGATGTTCCCGAATCACATTCCTAATCCGGAAGACAAAACCGCAATGTCACACACCAGAGCCGCGGTTCTTGAGAACTCAGCGGATCTCGGGGTTGTGTTTGACACGGATGTTGATAGGAGCGGTGTGGTGGATAACAGAGGAAATCCGATAAACGGAGATAAGCTCATTGCCCTTATGTCAGCTATTGTGCTTAAAGAACATCCAGGTGGGTTTACATTAATGATGTTTGTTAACCCTTATCTGATTGATAGATGGATCTTATAATATACTGTTTTTAAGTATGTATATAGGAACTACAATAGTGACGGATGCAAGAACGAGTATGGGGCTAACTAGGTTTATAACAGAGAGAGGAGGAAGACATTGTTTGTACAGAGTAGGTTATAGAAACGTGATCGACAAGGGAGTAGAGCTGAACAGAGACGGTATCGAAGCTCATCTCATGATGGAAACTTCAGGACATGGTGCTGTTAAGGAGAATCACTTCTTGGATGATGGTTAGTTAGTACTATTTAATTAATCAGGTTAATGAGTG